TTTTGCAACTTCTGCGTCTGTGTTAACAATTTTATCATTAAACCTTAGTTGAAAATCTAAGTTACGAGGTTTGTCACTTCCAGTTTCGCTGTTTATAATATGCCAAGTCGTTCTTACTACATGCGCGCTGCTTTTAATTTTATTATTTATAAATATTGCTTTGGCTGCAACACAAACACGTTTAAACATTTTCGAATACTTCCTAACAAAATCATTAAAACTGTTACTAGTAATATGGGTCCTTTCATCGTAGTGACTGGCGCAGTGGCACTGCACTCAGACCTTTGCGATTTAAAGCTCTTAGTGATACTACAATTGCTATGGACTGGCATGTTGCTTACCACCAGGCTCACGACTTGTTCGTCTCGCCACTTATCATTATAAAAACAAATGTTTAAATATCATGCAATAATTTCTCCACATTTACTTCACACACTTCAGACTTATGCAATCACGATCCCATTTCATTTCTAACGGGTGTTGTAAAAGCGACTAAGTGGAACCATGAGTTAAGCAGCAGGTAGTCTCCCAGAGTACGGATTATGTTATTGCAGCTTTACTATGAAGGTCTACCAGATCTACAAGAGGAGTGATTAAGTGAAAGCCTTTTTAAGAAAACCCCGTGTGGTAGTGAAACAACAATGACCTTTGCGTTTGGACCTAAAATTCGCTTTTGTAAAAACATTACCCTTCTCTCTTAGCTTCGACAAAGTAACCTCTACAGAAGTATTCGTCCTGTTTTACGATTTTTGCCGTTTTTAAATGTGGCTTATCATTCTACGATTATCACAAGTAAGGGTCGATTAGTCCCTTTCAGTTATACAATGTATTAAAAAAGAAACAAACTTGAACCTGCCAATGTATCTACAGGTATTTGTAATTAATTTATCACGTGTTCAAAATGTGATCCATCTTCTTACTTGCAAATCGTCAGTCTTCAGATGAGTTTGTAGCACTACTGATCCTTGTGAAAGTTCGTCCAGGGAAACACTGCCAACTCGTATTTCTGCCACCAAGCAGTAATGTGCGCATAACTGCGTTCCGCTTTGGAAGGGTAAGGGTGCTGGTGAAATTACAGGCACATGGGACTTGCCAACTTATGCCACAGGATGACGGGCGCATTGGTAGTGCCCCTAAGATCTTTGCCATTAAAATCTCTACGTGGCACTGCCACTGTTATGGACAGCTGTGTCACTTGTCACTAGACGCACGACTTGCCTGTCCCGTCACTTGGTGTTATAAAAAAAAACAAAAAGTTCGCTATAGATTTTCTTATCTTCTTGTGACAGGTATTAAAAATAATACGCATCAAATCCAATTTCAACTCGTGCACATTATTAAATTGTCAAATTTATTAAACATGTTTATCATTAAAATTACACAGTCAAGTCATAAGTATTGTCACATAGTAAAAACTTTTCTTGTAGAATGCTGGCCACAAAAAAGTTTATTGAATTCGAATTTCGAATTGTTCATGAAAATAAAATGTATACTTTTTAGAATTTTACTCATTTTTAAATATGGAGTGGACGCTTAAAGAAGACCGTGTTGCAGTTATTGCGTTGCATCGTTGCAGTTGCAAACTGCGCGTTTCTGCTGATTTTAAAATAATCAGGCAAGTTTATTATGCATTATGCCAATCATTAATTACTTACTGCATTACATCATGGGGTGGTATAGCTAAAACTACTTTACTAATCATTGAAAGAGCCCAGCGAGCTGTCCTAAAGGTTTCTACCTACCGCCCTTTCCGTTATCCCACTGACCTTCTGTATAAGTCATGTAAAGTATTAACTGTAAGGCAATTATTCATTAAGTCCACAGTCCTCAAACAGCACGTATTGCTCCCATATATTACTGAAAACACTAATAAAAGACGAAAAGATATTGTCTGCCCCAAAATTATATCATCAAAACATACTTTTATTTCAAGATTTTTTGTGTTTCTTGGACCATTTTTGTACAATAAATTAAACGCTAAATATTCCATTTATAATTTCTGTTGCTTTAAGGTAAAGAAAATTCTCCAAGAAGCTCTTCAAAATATGTCCTATGAGGATACAGAGAATTTATTTATTATCGTAAATTAAATATTGTCTTGTTTAAGTGTACATTTTTTTATTTATTTTTTTATTTTTTTATTGGCAATTTATTATTTAATTGTTTAATTTTATTTCATAAGATTCTCCTAAAAAGTATTTATAATATTAATAGTATCCACATTTATAATTAGTAGTACTTTTTACCTGAAATACAGGAATTTCCTAGTTCAGGTACATGTGTTATTTTTACATTAAATCGCATAAGTAGTCTTTAGTTTTCTCTGTACATTATGTTACTGAATAAACAATTTTATTATAATTTTATTATTATATAGTTACGCGCCAATTCAAATTTTTGACATACTGAAAAATTTGAATATAACCAAAAGATTCGTTTATCGTACCATCAAACGATACAATGAAGACTCTAGTGTAGATGACAGGTCAAGAAGTGGTCGCCCTCGGTCTGTTAGGACTCCAGCAGTGATAAAAGCTGTGAAGGCGCGAATTCAAAGAAATCCCAAACGTAAGCAGAAACTGTTGACCCTTCAGATGGGGTTAAGCAGAACCACGGTGCAAAGGGTGTTAAATGAAGACTTAGGGCTTCGGGCATATCGAAGAAAAACAGGACATCGTTTGAATGCTCGTCTAATGGACCTGAGACTGAAGAGATGCCGCGCTTTGTTGAAGCGGTACGCGGGAAAAAAATATCGGGAAATTCTTTTTTCAGATGAAAAAATTTTTACCGTAGAAGAGAGCTACAACAAACAAAATGATAAGGTGTACGCACACAGCAGTGAAGAAGCGAGCAACCGTATTCCGCGTGTCCAACGAGGTCATTTTCCATCCTCGCTCATGGTATGGTTGGGAGTTTCTTATTGGGGCTTAACAGAGGCACATTTTTGTGAGAAAGGTGTAAAAACGAATGCAGTTGTGTATCAAAATACAGTTCTGACGAACCTTGTGGAACCTGTTTCTCATACCATGTTCAATAACAGGCACTGGGTATTCCAACAAGATTCGGCGCCAGCTCATAGAGCGAAGAGCACACAAGACTGGCTGGCGGCGCGTGAAATCGACTTCATCCGGCACGAAGACTGGCCCTCCTCCAGTCCAGATTTGAATCCGTTAGATTACAAGATCTGGCAACACTTGGAGGAAAAGGCGTGCTCAAAGCCTCATCCCAATTTGGAGTCACTCAAGACATCCTTGATTAAGGCAGCCGCCGATATTGACATGGACCTCGTTCGTGCTGCAATAGACAACTGGCCGCGCAGATTGAACGCCTGTATTCAAAATCACGGAGGTCCTTTTGAATAAACTTTAGTGTCATAAGAATCTATGTTTTGTTAAGTTCATTTTGGTATATAAATGGTTACATAATGAATAAACTTGTTTCTTTTATTTTATATTAAACATGTGACAGAATTTATGACCTGACTAGATATAATAAATGTTCTAGATTATAATTATAATAATAATAAAATGGTATTAACATCATTTATTTTATTTTATTTTATTTATTAGGTTCACCAACGTTGCGTACAATATTACTTATATTCGATATACATATATTATTTTATAATCTAATTGCCACAAACACTTAAAGGTAAACACAACATGCACTGACTAAAAGCTAACAATGTCTAATAAAAACTAAAAACTAACAGTGTCTAAATAAAGTAAACAATAAAGATCACAATATGGAGCACAATATACTGAAGGTCACTTATTTGGTACAGTCGAGTAAGTGAGAAATTTTCTTCCGAATCTTGAGAGGTGAATCGTGGTGAATGTCAATGCTATCACTGAAACCATTCACCGTTCTACTCAACCTTGCGACGGGTGAGTTTGAGCCAAATACAGTTTTACGAGGTGGGACACTTAATGGACTAATTTTGTTACGCGGATATCTAAAGGGAACACGCAATTTGAATTTTTGAAGCAAATGAGAGCAATCCACTTCATGACGAAATATTTTTGACACAAATGACATATCCAAAAGAGTTCTACGTTTCTCCAAAGACATCACATTGAAATGTGATAAACGACGCTGGTACGAGGAGAGTTTTTTCTTGGAGATTCCACATGAGTACATTAAGTGCCAAACAAATCTTTTTAACAAATCATTCATCGCTTTGTGAATTTATACATAGTTAAACTTTTGTTAAGCCAAAATTGTGACAAATTTAAGGGAATGGCGATCGGTCACCGTCGAATTGTGACTTCGAGATGAAAGTTGGGTCAATGACCGCTACTGGCATGCTAAATGGCACAAGCTATGAAATGGCGGAACATTGAACTGATAAAATCTAACTTGCCATTGCATTTAGAAGGAGAAAGAAAACATACGATTATTTTTAGTGGTTTATTTATAAAAGGGAACAGTAAGGCCAAAACACATTAGAATACGTATACCTAAATGTTTTCATATTTCGTTACATTTGTTTCTTAACAATTTCTCTGGTGGGATTCTTAATCTGTTCTATAATTTTATAATATTTGTTACATAGAATTTTACACAAGCACTATGTCACTCAATGTACTAATAAGTTCATTTTGTTACATAAATATTTAGTAAGAGATTCTCACTTCTTTCAGAATCATGACATCTATGTTTTAAAAGATTTTGTATTGTCTTTTTCTTTACATTAACAGTTTACGTTATTCTTAATAATAATATGTCAACAGAGCAAAGTAATATTGATAGTTGGACGGTTTTTTTTAAACTTGAAAACGGTGTAAATTAAAACCATATCCTTTTTTAGACACTTAAAATGCACAGAAAATTGTGTGTTTTTAGAATACATTATTTTTAAACTATTACCAATTATATTATACTTTACTAATACAACACGCGAACTGTTCCTAAGCGACGTAACACTTTTACACAAGACAATAATAAGCCAAACATTTTGCGAACTAAGATAAAAAATTCATTTCAGAAAACCTAAACGACTTTATCTTTACACGATTAATATTTAAGTTACATAAAAGTACACAAGCTCTCTTTACATATTTTTTTGTTGCAAAAGGAACAGTTATATTTAGTTGTTTACTATATTATTGCTTATAATACAAGTATGAGGCGATAAGGGCGAGAGTTGCCAAAGGAAGGGAGAAGGTTGCTGAACCAGCTCCATTGCAAAGTTCTGTACTGCAGATGCTGCAGTGTCTGATCTGTCTGCCGGGGTCACGGAATTCGGAGGTCGATCTCTGCAGAGCGTCACAGATTTGGTCAGGTACCAGTGAGTTCACGTCAAGGCACGTACGGATTGTGGCGCCGGTCTCTGTAAGCAAAATAGAGTTGTTAGAGAAATAGATATATGACAAAAGTGAGACTGTAAAAATATATAATGTAAGGTATATAACGTAAATTTCCAAACAGTTATTTCCATAGGTATTCATATCATACCCTTGGTATAATAAAGCCACATGTAATCATACATCAACGGTGCGTTTATCAAATGACAGTTATTAAAATAATACGAAATACATTATGATTATGCGAATATGTTTAAAAAAGTTATCAATTAATTTCGTTAATAGAAATTTTAGTAGCAATAGAATATTTTAGGGAAGTACTGCCACTTTACCAATATCTGCCGCCAAGCCGTAATTTGAGCATTACTGCGTTTCAATTTTGAAGGGTAAGTGTGCTGGTGAAATTACTGGCACATGGGACTTGTCAACTTATGTCTCAGGGTAACGGGTGCAGTGGCAGTGCCCCTCACACCTTTGTGATTTAAAGGTGAATGACACCGTAATTGTTATGTACGACAGGCGTGCCGTTTACCACAAGGCGAAAGATTTGTTCGTCCCGTCATTTGGTATCATAAAAAATATTTGAACCAAGGATTGGAAATTTTGTGTTTCGTTTTTGAAATTCGATTGTCCTAATTTCGAAGCTAATTATTATTTTTTACTACTTTTTAGTACGTTATCTTAATTGCTTTCTTTATCAAACTTTATGTATTAGGCACAAATGATTTTCCTAAATTTCTGGCATACGTTTTTAAGTCGAAATCATACTTGACAACTTCATAGATATTTTAAACAATATAACAAGAAATCAGCATGTCGACGTTTGGAAAATTTGTAGAAGGCACGTGGAGTTCGCCAACCTGTATTTAGGTCAGCGTAGTGCCTATGACGCCACGGTCCCTTCACTTTTAGATACAGCTACTAGTAGGTACAGAAAATATTTAGTTTTATTTAAGTAACAGGTGTGGACGAATAAAACCAAACATTAGCATGTACTACACTGTTATATACACAGATACATATACATACCGCACTGATGTACTATATGCCTAACTCTTGAGTTTAAAATGATGTTAATAAATTTTAGAACGAATAACTTAGTCTAGAATAAGGTTGATAGTTAAGGTGTGATAAATTAGACCCAGGATGGTACAAGACTCAGATGCTCCGCTGACCAGGGTTCGAAATTATAAAGATATAATATTCCTTCGATAATAATAATAATTTCCAACTAATTTTATGTATATGAAAATAATTTATCAATGTATATTTATCGAGATGTACCCACACCAAAAATGTACCCGACACCTATTTAAAACAACCCTTGTGGATGCCTCGGAGAGATACGATTTAACCATCACTGGGTTCGCGAAATAGCAAATAAATTTACTTCCATTTTTATGCACCTGAAGTCTTCAGATGATGTACGATTTTATAAAGTAGTGGTAGAGTTTCCAGAAGGCAATAACTAAGAGTACAAATCGACACTCACGTAAGTCAATCTTAGCGCATTGTCTGGTGGCGCCGGCAGGGGACTCCAGCATACGGGGCTCGAAGATGTGGCTCAAATACGCTTTGTTATAGTTCACAGCGTCCTGAGTGAAGCAGTCCTAGAAAACAGAGAGAAAGATCATTGCTATTTATCATGAATCAGAAAAATGTTATAATCACTCTAAAAATTATTTAGCATGCTTTTTAGGCTGTATAGTGTAGATCCTCTTTCTACTAGAGTTAATTGATAAGTTAGGAAAGAAGCTCCAATTCTCATCGGCTTGTCTAAAATTATGTGTTATATATATATCATTACACATATATCATCAAATATTGTTATTGATATAAGTTTTTTAAAGTAATTTACTATAGTCAAATTTTATATGCAGAATAAATTAAGAAACTTACCACGAAATTCCTGGATCCAGCCTGGAAAGGGTCGCGGCAGTAGGGATCCGATTCCGAATTACATTGGTAGCACCGCAGGCATGAACCTGGAATAGAAATTTAAAAAATCTTCATATTTCGTATGTATTACATCACTTTGGAAAACTAATTTGTTCATACGTTGTATGTCAAAAGTTGTATGTCCAGCAATAACATCTGATTCTTTTCTTACAAGTCACTTGTCAATGTTAGCTTGTTGGTTTTTCGCCAATAGTAAATTTATTCTTGCTACTTTCAAATTGAACAATGAATAAAAACGACAGCTAATTCGAATTTCATAGATGAGCAACGTCTTCCCTAGGTGCATGTTATTTATTATGCATGTTTTTCAAGAGGACGGTCAAGAAGAAAATTTTCAGATCAAATTGAGAGTATACTAAAAATGACCTGAATGATGAACATTGTTTTAAAAATAAAACACATGTTTAAGAACTAAAAATGTTAATGATCAAAAATAAAACATAGAAGTAATATTGTGTGGTCTGGTAAACTGATTTTATACATTTTTCGCTTTTGCGCCATTTGTTTTAAATTAATGGCACATTGTCCTGTTTTGTCAAAGCACGAAGAAGCGACGCACGAACCTTAAAAGCGGGACTGTCCCGCTCAGAGTGGGACGCATAATTACGTCAAGTAAACTTAAAAAGGTTGGAGTGCGTAGTAAGACGAATTGAGTCTTAGTTGCGCCTGTTTGAAAATATTGATGAATGTAAATGCAGGATTGTGCTAAGTGGCGATCGATAGTCTCTGTCTACCTCAATGGGAATCCAAGTGAGTGTATTATGTATGTACATGTTCCAAAGTCTTGGAGTTCAACGGATATCTAAAAGCATATTAATAGTTGTTCCATTTAACAATGATATAACGGCTATTAAATGAACCGGCAAATTAAAAATAGCTGTTCCATTTAACAGTTATTTCAGATTTAGAACTCCCATTAGTGTTTTAACTAATGAATTTGCCCATCGTTTCCTTTCACTACTCTACATATCTGTGTATTATGTGCAGGTATATTGCTTAATGAAGGTAAATCTAATTGATTTTAATATTGTGATAGAACGAACTATACATTATTAGCCGCTTATCAAATATGTAAATTATTAATTCACAACCATCTTATAATTGGTTTGTTATCTATTATGTCCTATATTTAATGCCATGTGAATATTATTCAATATAAACTTTCTTATTAAGTCTATAAGGAAAGATATATGTTACAAAATAGTAATCTAACTTCCACTCAATGTCTTGATTGGATTAATTGGATAAGATAAATGTGTCTCAGGATCCGATGTCGATATAAGTCAGAATAGAACTTTCTATTCTGACTTTTATCTTTCTTTGTCTTAATTTTATTTTCATGACTTTTGTCTTAATTATATCTAAAAGATATATTTATGCGATTGACAGAATTATTTTCTATATTTTTCAAATACTTTCCAGCTAAAATGTATCGTATGGGACATCTGTAGCGTAGTATAATATGACAAGCAGTTCAACTCCGGCCTACACGTCGCGTCTCTCGGAGCGTAGGGTTGTCACATTATTGTTTATATGTATTTACATGTTGTACTTGTAATTGGAAATAAATACAGGAGTAATCGTGTAAACACAAAAAACTGTTTAATTCAGAACTTCCTCCTTTTTGGAAGTCGGTTAGAAAATTAAGGTATTCATCACTGTATCGTTCTTTGTTGAAATATATTTTGTTAAATGCATTAGTTGCGTTTGATATTTTTATACCAATATCGCGAATTGGTATCTCGAGATTATGAAATAGACATTAAAGCTCATGCCCTTGTCCCACAGGAGGGGTAGGCAGAGACCACGGAATGCCACTTTATTCTATCCTGACACAAATCTCGAGCCTCACATACATCAACTACCCTTTTTATACAACTTCTTTTATACTTGTCACTTCGGATCCCAGCCTTTTTGAGGACGTCACTGATCTGGTCAAAGTAAGTCCTTCTGAGACGTCCTCTTCAAACCCTTCCACCCACATTTGCATCATAAATCTGTTTGGTAATCCTGCCATTCTACACAGACATTCAATTCTGAATTTGAAACACTCTTCTTTAAGCAACTATAAATACAACAATAAACACATCTACTATCAGATGCCATTTTTTATAATCAATTCTTATTATTTATTTAATTACTTATTGTACAGGAAAACACAAATCACATTTGATAAAACGGAAAACACAAACTGAAGGTACTGCTTATTTCCATAAGAAATTTCTTCCTGCAGACCAAAATACAGGATACAATAATTACGATAACGGGCTTACGTGCACAACAAAACAAAATTAAATTATGTAATAAAATTATCAATCAGTCAACCGTGACCATGGGACCTGTAAAGGGTCCGAAACGTCGGTTTGTTTGAAAAAAGAAATATACGCGATTTAAATCCGGAAAAATAGTTTCATTTCCTATAATAAAATAATAATAATAAAAAAAAAGCAAAAATTTTAAATTACTACGGACTATATAAATACTTAGATAAATACATATTTCATATTATATGTATATATATACATATATCTTTTGATACATATATCTTTTTAATTTATTCTATAATCAATGGCGCGTATGACAACCCATGCTTTGCAATTCGAATGCACCGCGAGATTATGCGAATGTGTACGTCCGTACACGGCGCGCAACAGACATGTACACATACAGGCCGAGCTGCTATGTCTGGAGTCACGCTAATAGTCCTATTATACTATGTCTCCAGTATTATAAGCACACAAGGAATATCGATAGCTTCCGTGATCTCTGTTCTGTATCTAAAATAATGACGTAATTGCGTTAATCCTCCTCCCCTAATTAATGTTCACGTCATGAAATTAGCTAATAAAAAGCCGGAATAAAACCTAATAAACGACCAAGCACCGTGGTGAGGACTTTGACCTTTCGCCCTCTCATTTGACAATTTGCTTTTGTCTCTGAGCAACTCATTGCCCTTTACAATTGGATAAATTAACGACAATCACACTATAAATGTGTTACCACGTAGACTACGTAATCTATACTAAGTAGATCATCTTTTGGATTTAAGAGAACAGAAATTACAGAACAGTTGTAGTAGAACAGTTGTATGTAGAAAATAATTTAGGGATTATTGTTATCAAAACATCACAAATATGTGCCGTCTTTTCTAAAGAGGGATTAAACCTATAAATATTAAATTTACAATTGTATAAACAAACAATGTTTAATTTAAAAGATTTTAAAGTACTTTTTACTTAATGATAGCGATTTAATACGATCTAGACATAAACGTTGACATAATAAAATGTTACGTATATACTTAACCCAAACAGGTTTATAACGTTTTGAATCTGCGTGGAATAGTTGGAAATTTTTATATTCCGCATTTTAAGGAATGTCCCAGTGAGCAAACAACGTTATTAGAGTGAGGGGCACAATTTATCGTCATGTTTTTGCAGTTATTCGCTATTGTGAGAATACAAAAATATCTCCAGACTTTGTTATTTGGTAGTAAAACTGTGGTCTCTACTTTGTGCTCCTGTAGGTATGTCTTCTACGTAAGGAATGGTTTCTAAGTAGGTGATTTAGGTCTCTGTTGCTGAAAATATTCGTATTTATCTAAGCATAAACAACCATTTTTTGTCTTTTCTTATAATAATACTTGTTTATGTAAGTTTATATTATTTTTGCAGATTATTTCAGCAAACGTTTCAACAAATTTAATTTTAAAAACTGCTTTTTGGAATGTTTTTCTTGTCATCTGCGGAGAGAGCGGTTAGAAGTATACAGAGGCATTATAAATATATACTTATTCATAATTAGTTATTTTATATTAAGCTCTCGATAAAACAAAATAACTTTGTCTCTTCCGATTACAAGGACAACAAGCTCATGCGTTAAGAAATGTTGGGAACGTTACATCCTTGGATATATTAATCAGTTCACTGGTTTTGTCTAGTTTTTGGGGCCAATGATGATTTAATATTATAAACACGTGCGTAGATAGGGCTCTTCAACATAGATATAACAACGACAAAGTCAATATTAGCTAAGTCACGTTGCGTTGACTCAGTCATGTTGTGCCTTTTTAGGTGTTTATCTTTTTTTAATTTAAGGCAATCGAGCAGACGAGCCACTTGTTGGGAGGTAATCACTGTCGCTTATGCACATCAGCAACATCAAAGGAGCTGCCTATGCGTTGCCTGACTTTGAGAGTCCTTTTGACTCGCTTTTTGTAGAACCTCATATCATAGCGCAAAGGAATATTTTAGGAAGGAGACCATTTCTCATTTTGCTGGTTCGAGGAAGCAACGAACGTGATGCCCGCGTGGTGTCAGTATGCCAGGCAAACATGAAGATGGCACTAATTCGATAAGTTTATCTGAGCCCCCACGTTACAAAGACGGTAGAAAACATACAGAGAGCCAAGGCTGCCCTCCTAATCATAACTAACATAATCGATACTTTTTTTGCGAAATCGGGTTATTAACGTAACTGGAATAAGCTAAACAACCCCCTCTACTCGTTTTTTTCACATCCTATTTTGTTTCAGTTTGATTGTTAAATAAGTCAGATTAAACTAGTAAAAAGAAACTTTAGGTGCCAATATCTCGAATGTTACCGAAATGCAAAATCCTAGTGGTCACAAGAAGAAACAACATCTTATATGTAAACATAGTTTACGCGGTCGCTAGCGATAACTGTCACTGTATCTCATAATTTTTTTTCACAATGTCAAGTTGTGGGACGAACGCGTCATGCGCCTGATGGTAAGCTACACGCCTGTCCATAATAGTTGCAGTGCCAATCAGAGCTTTAAATCGCAAAGATCTGAGGAGCACTGCCCTTGCGCCCGTCACCCTGAGACATAAGTTGACAAGTCCCATGTGTGAACCACAGAATGTCTCTCCGTAGACTCAAGGACGCGAAACCGTCTGTGTGTTTGGGACCTTTGAAACACTGTGTTTTAAAAGCAAAGGAGACGGAAAACATTTGTCAAAACTCTAAACGTTAACCTAGACATTATGTCGTTACCGAAAATATA